ATTAAATATATTTTAATGCATAATACAGTATATAAAGTATACTTAAATTTTTACATTTACATTTAAATATAATTATAATTGCCCTAATTATTTATTGTATCATTATATGAAATTTGTATACGAGATAGTATTTTATGACACAAATATATTTCGGAACCTCAATTACTTTTAATATATTTTAATTATATAACGTACGTTTATATTGTAATTATTGATCTAGTTTGTTTCGCATTACACCGACTGGCATTAAAAAATTTTAATTTATAAACTCATTAGAATTTTAATTCAATTTTTAATATTTAGTAAAATATTATTATTTTGAATAATGTTTTCATATTAAACATAATTAAGCATTTAATATATTGTAAATTATATCAAACTAATAAAATCATATAGTTTCAATACATCAATATTTTTAATAATTTGCAATTAAAATAAAGCTTTTTTAATAAGAGTTGTATTAAATCTATTTACAAAATTAATTTAAGTATTTTCAAAACATAAAATGCTATTTAATATAAATACAGAAATTAAATATTTATATTCAGTCATGCCTTGGATTGACTATAATCTTAATAACAGCTATCACTGCAATAATAGTTATACCAATGAAACTGATGTTTCCGGTGTTGATGAAATAGTTTTAGGACCATGGGCAAGTACAAATATTCATCATTACAAAACATTAATTACCTATGTTAATTTAGACTAAAGCAGGGCCAATGTGTGGCTTACTTTTGTCCATATTTCAAGTGTTTAGCTGTAAATTCAACGCTATAATCAAGTTTATTGACTATAGGAAAGGCGATATTAGCGAGGTAAAATATTATTCTGGTAAATGTCTACTAATATAAAATGCAAATGTTTTAGCTATTCCACGTGGTCAACTATGTTGATTCACAGTTTCTAACGGCACATGATAATTTCACAGCATTTCCATCGCAATCAAACTATGATCTTAATATCATTAGTGGTTTACAATTATCAAAAACAAACACTCATTACTCGTTTGTTAAATTATATGACTATAAAGTAAGTTATGAATTACTTGACATATTAAAATTCTTATTATGATATTTTAATTAATTATATTTTAGACATGGTTGTGTATAGCAATTGCTGCAATAGTAATGTCACAATTAATAAAATATTCGTATAAATTGCAATTTAAATCTACAATTTATCCATTGATAGAAGTGTTGCAAACATTGATTATGCAATCGTCGGATGTATTCACAAAATATAATAACATTAATCCCATAATAGACTCAAAATATAATTTATTTATTATGGTTACATGTATTTGGACCATAAGTACACTAATATTAACAAGCGCATTTTCTGGCAATTTACTGAACACATATTTTAACATTAAATTAGTGCCAATTGCCGAGACATTGGACGACATTGTTGACAATGATCACGTGCTAACTTTAGTCCACAAGATACAAATACATTCTATTGCAAAAACAAACCCAGGTTATAATCGCACATTTACCATAATGCTCGACAAAAACGATCGCTATGTGAAGACATTGAACGGATCTGTTAGACAAGTACCGCCGAGTCAGCTCATATATCAGCCACAGGTGTTTGAGGATGTGGTGAACCGGAAGATTATAATAGCTGTTGCGAGTATACCATTGAGTAATTTTCATTATATCAACAGATATTATGCCGATATGTATGCCATCAGTGAATACGAGTATTTTCCTGCAATTTATTATTTTGTTTGCCGTAAATATCATACATACACCGCGTTTTGCAGTTTTATGTAAGATATATACAAATTGTAGTACAGTATGACTCCGTTATAAGACTTTTTTAAACTTATTAGGCTAAACTAGTTATAGGATATGTACAGTAAAAATCTGTACAATTTTTGCCCTATAACTGTGTTATACTGTCCACAATAGTCTATAATAAGATTAAAGAATTTACTATGTTGATTGTAATTGTTTTACACCTATAGGATCAGGCAGATTTTTGAATGCAGTCTCTTTAATCGATACACAACTGTTATAAATATATTTTTCGAGATCCTTAGGAAAAAACATAAAATACAATATAGTTTACAATTAACGCAAGACCTCAACGATATTGACGCCAAAGTAATCACCCTGGACGAACTTGTCATGAATTTAGACTCAATATTGTTTGCCGGATGTTTCATCTCGTTTATAGTACTTATGAGTGAAATCATCATGTTCAAATTGATTTACAATACTATTACATTGATAATTAACAATGTTCTTAGACTGAATTCAATATAATTAATTGTTATTAATAAGTAATTAATAATAACTATTACCTAATTAAACTATTATTGTGTTAATCATTCTATTTCATAACCAAAACTTTGCTAAATTATTTGTTAGTTTGTATTTTTATTAAAGTAACTTATATTTAATGTTTTAATCGCAAAAATTTATTATCGTAAAAATATTAATTTAAAAGATTATTTCTGTTTTAATTAAATTACAACTGACATATGATTTGTTTATAAAGGTCTATGCTTTGATTTAAATTTTAATCTTATATATTATTATCTTATATCTTTATATACATTATGTGAACTTTATATATTGATACATGTAATAATACTTTATATAATGAGTGCCCCAGATACGATTTAAATTCATTTTTACTATAGATTATTTTTATAGATTATTAAAATATAAATAATGTACATTTACATCATTCTAAATATTTTAATTAAATATTGAACAATACATTGATTTAACTATATTATACAGTATTGTACAACATAATAGAATATTCAGATTCTTATAATACTATTATTATTATTATTTTATAATTTCAATCACTTTTGAAGTTTTAATTGTACTTATTATTTCATTTTAATTATATGTACAGTATTTGTATTTTGTATTAACCATATTGATCCTATTTTTGCATTACACCGAATAACACTAAAATATTTTATTATCTAAATACATTTCGCTATATTAAGGACATTTATAAATCGTAATTCATTTATTATTTCCTTTTGGCAATAAAATGTTGTTTAATATCAATACAGAAATTAAACATTTGTATTCAGTCATACCTTATATTAATTATAACGTTAATAACAGCTATCACTGCAATAATAATTACAATGATACTTATGATGTACATGGTGAAATAGTTTTAGGGCCATGGGTAAGTATAAATATTTGATATAAAAGTATAATTATTCATAATAAATATTAATTTAGACATTAGCAGGGCCAATTTGCGGATTGTTATTGTCTATATTTCAACAGTTTAGCTGTAAATTTAATACTATTATCAAGTTTATTAGTTATAGGACAGATGATATTAGCAAGGTAAATTAGTAAAACTTTTGTAAGTAAATTAACAACTAATGATAATATAAATGTTCAAGCTACTTCTTGTTGTGGATTACGTTACGTCAGAGTTTTTAACGGCACATGGTAATTTTACAGGATATCCATCGCAATCAAACTACAATATTAAAATTATTAGTGGTTTACAATTATCAAAAACAGACACTCATTACTCGTTTGTTAAACTATTTGATTATAAAGTATGCATTAATTTAGTTATAACTAAATTGTAATTATTATAATAATACTTTTAATTGTATTTTAGATATGGATCTCTATAGCAATTATCTCAATAGTAATGTCACAATTGATACGATATTCACATAAATTGAAAATTAAATCCACAATTTATTCACTGATAGAAGTGTTGCAAACATTGATTATGCAATCGTCGGATGTGTTTACTAAATATAATAACATTAATCCCATAATAGACTCAAAATATAATTTATTTATTATGGTTACATGTATTTGGACTATAAGTACGCTAATATTAACAAGCGCATTTTCTGGCGTTTTATTAAACACATACTTTAACATTAAATTAGTGCCAATTGCCGAGACATTGGATGATATTGCTAACAATGATCACGTGCTAACTGTAATCCACCGTAGACAATTACAAGACATATTGACATATAACCCTGATTATAATCACACATTTACTAAATTGTTCAATAAATACGATCGCTATCTGAAGACATTGCGCGGATCAGCTCGTAATGTACCACAAGAACAGCTCATATATGAGCCACAAGTGTTCGCAGATGTGGTGAACCGGAAGATTGTAATCCTCTCACAAACCATACCATTAAATAACTTTCATTATATCAACAGATATTACGCCGATATGTATGCCATCAGTGAATACGAGTATTTCCATGAATTTCACTTTTTTGTTTGCCGTAAATATCATAAATACACCGCGTTTTGTAGTTTCATGTAAGTTATACACTGTATGCTATACAGTATGACTCCGTTATAAGTCGGTAACTTTTTATAATTACAGTATTAGATTTTTAAAGCAACCAAAATATTCTTATAACTGGGTTAACACTAATTTACTATGCATTTAAATTATTTACCATGTTAATTGCAATTGTTTTACATGTATAGGATCAGGCAGATTTTTGAATGCAGTCTCTTTAACCGATACACAACTGTTATCAATATATTCTTCGAGATCCATATGAATGCACATAAAAAACAGTTTGCTTTAACACAAGACATCATTGACACCAATAACAACATTGACGCCAAAATAATCACCTTAAAGGAAGTGGTCATGAATTTAGATTCTATATTGTTTGCCGGATGTTTCATCTCGTTAATAGTATTTGTCGGTGAAATTATCATGTTTAAATTCAATCACAATTCTATTACATTGAATAATTAATAAATTAGATAATAATAATTAAATATAATCACTAACAGTTATTACCATAAATAAACTTATTCAAACCGTAAATAACATTACAATTAATTAATAATTATTATAATTTATTATAACTAAACAAAACTATTTATTAAATAAAACGTTAAATAAAATACAATTATATTAATTTGAATAAAAATAACAACTCAATAATAAAAATCAAATAACAATAAGTGGAAGAATAATGACCACAGCGTTAGTGTCTGAGATAATCAATTACTCAAAACAAAGGGGTCTTCAGTGAGGATCAGATAATTCTCGTGTGGGCATCGAGTCAACGGTATTTCGGGCGAAACACTAGGACCCGATTTGAGGTGATGTTTGGCCACAATGTCTTCGAATATGGATGAGTGGTCACCGAAGAGGTCGCGCTTAAGCCGATGAATACGCTGATGGTATTGAAACGCCACACGACTTTGGCTGCTATACCCACAACCGGGCGCTTCGCACCGTTGTCTACGGCTCAGACCAGGCGCTGACCAACTGGTCTTTGGCCGGTCTTCGGTTGCAATTGTAATGCTTGTTGTCAGACATCTACCGCCCGATTGTGTGACACCTGTTGCCGGACTGTTGTCCACAAATTACAATCATTACATATTCAATAGTAATTGAATGAATCAAATGCTTACCGATTGGCCGCAGATGTTGTGGCCGAGAGCTGTGGCGACGGCCAATCGGTGGCCATTGGTTGGCGACTCGAAAAACTGTCGTTAAGTCGTTTCCGATTGGACGGCGGTGGAGGCTTCAATTGGTTGCGACTGCGCTGACCAGTGGTTGAGCGGCGAGATTCATGTCCAGTGACTTCTGGGACTGAGTTTTCATTGGATATTTGGTTTTTACCGGCCTTTGATTGGTTACCAACTTTGCCATCGCTTACGCGTCTAATGACCGCTTTTTTGACCACTTTTTTAGCCGATTGTCTTATCGGCCGAATCGCGGAACTATTGACCAGAAGATTGAGACAATTATAATCATTGTATCATTAAATCAAAGTCTCACTAATTGGTGGCAACAGATGCGGAGGAATGGGTCGATAGCTGGCGATCACTATTGGCTTGTGTTTGGCCACCGATTGGATCCGATGAGCGCTCGTCTTGTCGTCGGTGTGAATACTGAACTCTCAACTCCTCTGCGGACGTAATGCCGGACAGAATGCGCGACATCTCAAGAGTCCAGACAACGGACGGGTCATCAGATTCATCGACAGTTATGCTAATCCTATATGGGATCAAATCAAGTGATAAATAAACCGCTAATTATCTCTCAATTGTCTTAACACTAACGGCTCAATAGTGGCGGCCGAAGACGAGCTGATCCACGGCTCTGTGGCCACCGGTTTGACGCGTACTTCGATGCGATCCCTGTCGCGGAGGACACCGTCGATGGCAGTGTTGTCGCGAAGTAAACCACTGTTGAGATACAGACCGATGTCGTCGGCGTCGGCGCAGCTGTCGATGGACTCATTGGTCATGACATACAGCTTCAGAGCGTCGATGGTCTTCAGCACAGATGGTATGGACAGCCAATAGTCCTCCACTTCCGGACGCAATGTCTTCACCGACACCAACACTATAATGGGATTCGTTGTCATTCTTCGTGGGATCAGTTGGAGTGATGTCTTCACTGTAGATGTCGTTCAATGGGATTGTTGTCAACAAAAGTGTCAACAATTCGTATGACATTTGAATTTCACGTCTCATGAAATCAATGCTAACGTTATTTATAGTCAAACCTATTGTTGACAACTGTTTCGCGGCCTTCACTGCAGTAATCATTGTTTGAAATATCAATCAAAAACGTGTCAAACAATTGCCCCTATATTTGATGTTTTAGATCAAGTAATTGGCGCTAAATTTAAACTGGATCAAATTTATTACCATCATTACTGCCAATGATAACTATTAACGTAATTAAACTGATCCGTGGCTCACAAACAATACAGCAAAATATGATTAAATTTATTAAAAATTAAAGCATTTTTATTGCGATTAAAACTTTAACTAAAAGACAATTAAATTCAATGAATTTCAATTAAAAATCAACATTTTTACCACAATCAGAAGTGGAGGAATGGGTCCACAATATAGACATTCAATTCAATGACATTCTTCTGGTGCGCGAGTGATGTCTTGAGATATGAATTTGTGGCCAAAAGGCTATCCGTTTAAAAAGTAATTAAGTTTCACGAAAACAACAATTAATTCAAAAATTCAATTAATTATTTAAATTTAAACTTAAAAACTCAATTCAATTGTCAATAGCTTTACTGTTAGCCATCGCATAGACGCCAATCACTCGGCGTAAACCATCGGATCCGTCGACAACAGCCAAAGACATGGAACACGTGAACAAAGCTCGTGAAGTGGCCGTCGAGTACGTGAAGGCCCACCACTTGGAGGAGCGTTTCGTACTGTACGCCGCGGTGTACGCCGTGAAGACACTTGCGGTCATATTCTTCAGGTCCGTGTTCTACGGCTACGACAAGTATTATCTCGTATTCAAGCTTCTGGTGCTCATCAGCTTCGCGGCGGTCGTCTGTGCCGTAGAGCTGATCCGATTCAGTGAACCGCTGCTCAAACACTTCGGCGCCTATTCCTCGGTCCAGACGGCGGCCAAACGGATCTTCAGCTCCGGAGGAGGCGGTGGTGGCGGCGGAGGCGGCGGCCGATGAATGGCTTTCACTACACATTGAATGACAAAATGTTTTATAAAATTCACAATTTTGTCACAAATAAAGCATAAATCAGTAAAACTTATAAAAACACCAAAAGTTTGCAAACAAAACCCAATTTAACAAAATTTGCTAATAATTGAAACATTTTGGTATAAAATTGAAGACAATTAAATGTGGAAGAATATTTGAAGAGAAGAGCGCATCCAAACACTTGACCACTAATTCAAATCACTCATCACAAGTGCTCATTCATATCTGAATGGCGTTTAACGGCAAACCGGCAGCCATTGTGCAGACACCTGATCCACGGTATGAATGGCAACTCATTGGGATGTACTATATATTGTCAATTATCATTAAACATGCATTTAATTAAATCGATAATTATAATAGAAATACATTAATTTGAATAACAATTTCAATACAATTTGTTAACCACTATAAATTTGGGAATAGCCATCGGCAGTGATTACGGGCATCGAACCCATTGATTATAATTAGTGTGTATTACTGCCACCCCTTTCGATGTAAGGCCAGAGATCATTCAGAGTAGATATATGGCGCCGCACGTTTCGCACTTAAAACATGTATGTAGCACGTCTAATGGCTCTGAATAGCGATGGTCACAGTCCAGTTCATACAGATGCCCTGGTATGGGTTGCAAACAGACGGGCGCTGGTATGGGTCGCAAACCGACTTCGGGTGCGATTGTTTCCATAGCAACGCATCTGATGTTACATTCGTCGCCCGATTGTGTGACCACCGCTGCCGACGATATGCTGGCCGTAGTATTGAACGAACAGTCGACGGAACCGTTGGATTCGTTCTCGAGTACCACATTCTTTGCCGCTATATCTTGGGATTTGTTGTCCACTGATTTGTCATCACTTTCGACGCCTGTTTCGCATTTGCCATCCGATTCGATGGTCAAAGTGTTGGCAATCGATGTCGAGGAATCTGTCGGATCAGATAAATGACTCTCAACTTTACTAATAATATCACTCATTAAAGCCTTCAATTGGTAGTCCATATCAACGATTGTCTGATCACCCGATCGGCCATTCATTGACTCGTCATCGGAATCATCGACAGTAATGCTGTAAATGTGGGAACAAATGCAGTGATAATTGCAATCTTATAATCGAAAACTTACCACTCATGTGTTGCGGGAGAAGTATTGTCCGCCGAAGAGTTAGCGGGCATATAGTGGTCACTGTTATCGATGCGTTCATTTGTCGGTATATGTCCTCTGATATCATCGATGGTCTTAATGCTGGCCGTAAATAGTGGTTCACTTCGGGACCAAACGGTCGTATCAATGGGAGTAAAGTCACGCCATTGGCTGTCATTCTTCGACAGCCCAAATGGTGTCGTGTAGCGGATCTGTGGCCTAAATATTGCATTTTAAATATAATTAATTTGTAAATTATTTAAATAAATAGTTTAATAACTATTTTATACGAAAATAAATTTATAAAATTAACAGAACATTTTTGCCAATAGTTTGTATAATTGAAATGTGTTTAAGTTATTTAATTATAATAGAAGTGGAAGAATATCTGAAGACAAGAGCACATCCATACAATTGACCACTATTTTAATTAGCGATCAATTTTGATGCGTCTATTAATAGCCGACAAAACAGACAGACGGGTCACGCAATTGTGTGACCACTTTTGTCGACACCGCAAACCTTACCGCCAACTATTGGCCACAAACTGGTCAATAGTTAGCTAACAGTACTTTATTATCATTAAAATGCTCACCAATTGGTCGGCAATGGTGTGGAGGAATGCGGTGCTGACCGGCAATCACTAGCCACGGGTTGGCTAAACAATTGACTACCGGTGGACGTGTCGTTAAAACGGCTCCTAAATCGGGTGAAGGCATCGCTTTGCCATTCAGTGTCTGCTTTTGCGACCACTTTGTCGGCCAATTGTGCCGTCGATGTAATGACGGAACTATTGACACACAAAAGACAGTGATTGCTATAATCATAGTTATGGGAGTTTATCATTGAATCAAATGCTCACTAATTGGTGGCAAAAGATGCCGAGGAATCTACTGATGGATTGCGCCCACCACTGACTTGAGATTGACTATCAATCGGACCAAATGAGTGACTCTCCGAGCGTTTGCCAAAGTCTTCGGCCGTATACCCCGTTGTCTTTGCGGAACCGTTGCCAACAGACTCTTCGTCTGATTCATCGATAGTAACGCTAAGAATATATGGGAACAAATACAGTGATTAATCACGTGTTGATTATCTCAATACCTCCACACTTACCACTCAGGAGCAGAATTTTTATGTCTCTTGCGGTCAGAAGTATTGTCCGCCGAAGAACTGATCCTTCGTTTGGCCACAGGTTTCGCACGGATTTCAATATAATCTCTGTCTCGAAGACAGTCGATGGATGTGTTGTCCCGAAGTAAAGCATTTTCGAGATACAGACCGATATCATCGGGGAATTCACCGATTGATCGACCGTTTGATTCAGTGGTCAGTATATGTCGTTTGAGATCATCGATGGTCTTCACTGTCGGTAGTATTGGCAGCCAATAGTCCTCCACTTCTGGAAACAACGTGTTCAGTGATATCGCCACTAATATGGGATTTGTTGTCATTCTTAGGGATCAGTTGGAGTGATGTCTTGAGTGACGCATGAGTTGTTGTGTGGAAAATGTGTTTAAAGTGTTATTTAATAATCAATTAATGAAGTGATTGTCAAAAAAGTGGTCAATAATTGAGAAGTCATTTCAATCTCAGGTCTTGTAATCAATGCTAACGTTATTTATAGTGAAACAGTTTGACTCAAACCCATTGTTGACAACTGTTTACACTTTCATTGCATTAATCATTGACTCAATTGCCATCAAAAACGTCAAACAATTATAACTTTAAATTGTTATACAAAATGCGGTTAATTTAAAACTAACGGTTGTTTTAAAACAATTATAATTAAATCTAAAACTTTATCTGAATTTAAACCGATTATAAGTTAACAGATTTTAACGACTTTTCACACAATGTTTGCCACAAAAAACATTATCATTGCATTCTTCGCCGGTATTAACACAAAACTAAAAACTTCCCAAAACTATTATAATTATTACCAAAACTTTCTTAACAGTAGTATCAGTGGATCAGTTGATGACAGAGCCGGTGATCACCAAAACCAAGTTTGTATTAAACGCCGACATCTGCCACAAGACAGTCAACGGACTCATTGACACCACTTTTGTTTGTCACATTGGTTGGTTGGGATCCGAGTATTACGTGTTTAAGGGCTCGTATTCGTGGCAATTGTCGGCCGATCTCAAGGGTATTGTCCACCGGAACGGCCAACTCGTGAGCCAACTCTGGTCACCCAATTATGACACTTCGGGTTTTAATCTGCATAACGTTCGCAACACAATTGCATTCATCGGATTCATTACTTCTCGCACTTATTTCATCGCAGTATACATACATTTATGTCATTCATTACAATAATCACTAATATTGTGACCATTTTATTCCTCCTCAGCTCAAACCCAAACCGATCACGTGGTATGGATTCTCTGTGAAGAAATATATTGTGAAAAATATCTACTCAATGGATTCGGGTGAATTGCGGATCAATGGCATCGATGATAATACGGTCACTTTCAATACCAATTTTGGCCATTTTGGTGATTATCACGTGTTGTTCATTGACCAGAAGGGGTCGCCCGACGGCACTGTCAACCGTACGTACCGTTGGATTGACTTTAAATTGCCGGCCAATCCTAAGGAGATCATCGCTAACAGCTCTTTACCACAGTTTGTGGTCGATGTGAGCGACAAGTATTGGATTATCTCTATCCTCGAGAGCGATGATAATACAGGCATTTTATTTCTCAAGTATAACGAGTTTGGGTTTTACTGTTATTTCAACGAGAATAGTACTGTAAGTTTCTCTCTCTCTCTCTCTCTCTCTCTCTCTCTCTCTCTCTCTCTCT